CCTGAGCACAGAGGGCTAACGCTCCGCCCTTGGGCTGATGGGATAGGGTCTCCTTCCGGCAGTGCTGCCTTTCAGTCTCACACCTTCCTGCTGACTTGGGGCAGACCAATGTCATGGACAGGTTTTGGTTCCTGAGTGTATTGTAACTGACTCAGATTATGGAAAATTGAGAAGCGATGACATCTGGCTTCTGCCTCCAGGTTGGAAAAATTCACCTGTATCCTGGGTGGTGGAGAAAAAGAGAAAAGCTTCTATAGCACTTGATGCATCAGAGGATGGGTGGTGTAGCCTCGAGGGGGAGAAGAATCAGAGACCCAGACAATGGGGGCAGGAGCAGGATGACCAAAAGGACGGACACCTGAATAATCCATCTGTGAAAAATGGCCTCCAACGAATTAAACATAGAAAACCTCTTTCAGAGAAGATAATCTTATTGGATAAACTTGCAAGATTTTTCTGGCCAGCTTCTGCCTCTCAGAGCTTAAATTAAAAGCTGTTTAGCAGATGGCAGTTTGTGAGTCACGGAGTTGGACTCTCTGGCAACCACGTGTGCTTTTGGTTTCCCAGGGTATCCTGACCACATATGGCCCCAGAAGAGGCATGAGAGCTCTTTATTGGCACACATTAGAGAGCTCCTCTCCTGCCTTAACACACAGATGACAGGCATTTCATTGTAACCATCAAGGGTGGTTAGCAGAAGGGACTTTCCAGATACTTCAGGAATTCAGGGCACTGGAAGCCATAACATACTGGAGCTACAAGGGAGCTTGATCATCTTTGTTTTACAGAATGGGGAAACTGAGGCTTAGAGAGGTTCTGTAATTGCTCTAAAGTCACCCAGCAAGGGAGAAGCAGTGTTAGGACCAGTCTCATTCTTACTTACTATAAAAACAACTTCTCTATTTATCTTGGGGACCTATTGCCTGATACCCATGGAACCCCTAACGGATGTTTTACCAATGATCTGACAAACTGGTCAGGAGAAGGGCTTGAAAAGGTCACTTTGTCCACCTTGCTTTAGCGCTGGACAAAACCTCTGAAGTGGAACTTCATTGCTCCTCTCTTCAAAGCTTTCTAATAATGTTGAAGTTGCAGCTGCCCTTGAGTGTTGTCAAAGAGAAGCGAAGCTGGACACTTGTTAAAGGCAGTAAGACAGATTTTATTCAAAGCTACTATAGTAGGGGAGAGACCTCAGCTCAACTACACCAAAGCAAAAGACAGGGGGCTTTAATGAAGTTGCCTGAATCAAGAATCTACTCTGAGCCTAACTCCTAAACATGTCAAAAGATCATAAAATATTTTTGTTGTGATAGCGTGTGTGTTAGTGTATACCCAGATGTGACTGGATGGTTGACAAATGCGCAATTAAAAAACAGTATCCAAGCTCCACGAATGTTTTGTATAAGCAGCACACCCTTCTTCACTTTTCTAATGACAAAAATAATTGCAGGAGAGGCAGCCCCTGTTGGCAGAGGGTGAATCTCCGGAGAAGGATGTAGCTTTGAGCTGCTGTGAGCACCCACCATTCACAGCAGCTGGTGGCTTGAATACCTCCTGGAGTAGCAGGGATCTGGCTGGGGGGCCACCTGTCTCTACTACAACACTGAACTGGTTCTTGAAAGAAGTCAGTGTTGATTACATGGGATATGCAGTAGGGGGATGGTAGGGCATTTCAGGGCCAGTTACAGGGGAAGAGACCATGACACATTCAGGAAAGATAGTGGGTTTGAGGTATCTTAGTCATCTCAGGCTGCTAAACAAAATGCCATAAATGGGTGGCTTATACACAACAGAAATTTATTTCTCATTGTTCTGGAGGCTATACTACAACACTGAACTGGTTCTTGAAAGAAGTCAGTGTTGATTACATGGGATATGCAGTAGGGGGATGGTAGGGCATTTCAGGGCCAGTTACAGGGGAAGAGACCATGACACATTCAGGAAAGATAGTGGGTTTGAGGTATCTTAGTCATCTCAGGCTGCTAAACAAAATGCCATAAATGGGTGGCTTATACACAACAGAAATTTATTTCTCATTGTTCTGGAGGCTAGAAGTCCAAGATCATGGCGCCAGTGTGGGTGGGTTCTGACAAGAGCCCCCTTCTGGGTTGCAGACTTGTTTTCTTGCTGTGGAGGAAGGAGGGTGAGAAAGCCACCTGGGTCCCTTTCATCAGGACACTGATCCTGATCACCTCCCAAGGGCCCTGCCTCCTAATACCCTCCACTGGGGGTCAGGACACAAACATTCAATCCGCTCCACTACAAATGGGGTAGACAGAATACTGGATTTTAAAAGAAGGGGCTGTGTTCATGGCAGTGGTTAAAATCAGCAGGTAAGGACCTCTCTCTGTCTTGGATCAATGATGGTTTCCCTTCTCCAACCTCAAGGGAGGCTGGAGATACAGTCATTGGAGAAACTGAGCCCAGGACTGGAAGAGAGCTCTGACCAGGATACACAGGATGGTCAATTGAAAGAGTGTGACATTGACTCCACTTCACAAGGTTGTGTGAGTTTCTGCCCCAGTAGTAGGAGATACTTGTCAAATCTCTGGAGCCCAGTTCTTTGAGGAGGCATTTGATCTGTCCACCTGCAGTCAAAGGCCCGAGAGGCCCCAGTGCAGTCATTCATCACCCTGCGACTGCTCACAGAGCCTGTCACTCGCTGGGGGCTGGCCATGGCCCTGAATCTGTCTTCTTCTAGCCAAGTTGGCTGCTCAGGACAGCGAGGTCTGTTTGGCATTTGCAAATTGATAAATTAGTGTTTTGTCCTGTTTTTCTCCTTTCTTGAGAAGTATTTCCTTTTGGAAAGATGGGCATTCTTGCAACTTTTTCTTCCCTCTGGGACCTCCATCTTCCACATGTTCTCAAAAATAATAGCTTAGTTTTTGCAATAACATTTGTCAACTCTTTAAGTCTCCCACTTTGCTGGTTTGAAATAACCATCTTCAAAGAACTTTGCCTCTATGGAGTTTAGTTTGACACACATCTTTCCACCTTGGTGTGTGATTATACTTAAATCTTTTGTAAGTGCATAAATGAAGTGCATGGACCAAGAATCTCCTCTGAACCTCACTCTTGAAGGTATCAAAAGATTACAGAAAGCTTTTTTGAGATAGTGTGTGTGTTTGTGTGTAGCCAAATGGGATTGGATGGCTGATAAGTACAAAATTGCTAAACAGCATCCAAGCTCCACAGATATCTTATATAAGCCATATACCCTTCCTCCCTTTTCTAATAACCAAAATAATTATTTTGTATCCTCAGGATCTTTTCTGATTTTCATTTTCACTTTGGTGGCTTTCCCACATACGTTTCAGGCTGTTACATTCATTCATGTCATAAATATATATAACCGTGGACAAGGTGCTCAGGGGTCTGGCTCACATTGAGCTTACAGTTTAGAAAGAGAAATAGACATTCAGCAAATCATTTTAAAAATATTTATGTAATCACATTGGGGACAGTTTTAAGAAATAAAAATGAAGTGGTGTTCCGATGATCTATTGTTGCATAACAACCATCCCAAACTTAGTCGTAAATCAGTAGCAATGGTCTATAGAACTCAACAGGGACAGCTCATCCTTGTTCTGTTGGGGTGGCTCAAAAGCTGGGTGCTGGACCTGTTTGAAGGAACATCACTCCCCTGCCGGCAGGTCAGCACGGCTGTCTGCTGGGACCTCAGCTGGCGCTATCAGATGGAACGCACACATGTGGCCTCTCCATAGAGCCTGGGCTTCCCTCCGCGGTGGCTGGGCTCCCAGGGCGTGCACCCTGAGAGAGAGCACAGTTGAACCATATCATCAGAGTCTGAGTCCTGCACAGTTTCAAAGGGAGGGGAAGTAGACTGCACCTCTTGATAGGGAAAGACAAGGTTTTAAAACAGGATGTAGGATCAGAAATGAGGCTGTGGTGATTTTTGGAAAATGCAATCTCTCACAAGTGGCTATGAGAGCTAAGACCTTATCAGGAGGGATTTTTAAGCTGGGACCTGGAAGATGTGGGGAGAGAACATTCGAGACAGCGGGCCCTGGCTCCCAGGGAGCCCGGCTCTGGGGCAGCTGGTGGGAGCCAGTGCCCATGCAGCACAGTGAACGCTGGCAGCAATGGACGCGCCCTTGGCAGGGCCTTCGGGGGGCTTGGCCAGCCCACACTCAGCACCTGAGTTATCAACTGCTGCATAACAAACCGTCTCAAGCATACTGACAGAAAAGAACAGTATCGCTGATGATTTTCTCTCAGCTCCTGAGGGTTGCCTGGGCTTAGCAGAGCAGCCCCTCCTCGGCATCTCTCACGCAGCTGTGGTCAGATGAGGGCCGGAGCTGGAGTCACCCTGAAGCCTCGCTCACTCATGCACTGGATGCCTGGACTGGGAAGATGCGAATGGCTGGGGCTGGCACAACTGGCCTCGTGGGCGTCTTCTGCTTTCATTCCCTGCTCTCTCCATGTGTCCCTCCAGGGTAGTGGCTCCTGGGAGGCTAGGCTTCTTACAGGGTGGCTGATGGCTCCCAGAGCAAATTCCCCAAGACAAACCAGAAGTTGCTTGGTCTTTTCTCACCTGGGCTTGGAAGTCAGGTCATGCCTCTGCAGTCACACACAGCTCACCCTGGTGGTCACAAAAGCCCACCCACTTTCAAGGGGAAGGGACATAGACTTCTTGATGGTAAGAGCATTGAAGCATCTGCAGACATATTTTAAAACTACATCTAAGGTGACCATAAATCACTGTCAAAAGCAAGACATTTTTGAGAGTGAAAGAGGATGCTTTCTATGCATAAACTAGGACTGTTGTCCACACTAACCCAAGATATATGGTGGCCTCCACTACAGTGTTCACCAAGCTGTCTTAAATTCCTTTGCCTTTCTGACATCCACTGTGTCGTTTTCAAACATAATCTTCATGCATTGAAATTTGTTTAGAATTAATTTTCTTGTTAACTTCTTGCTTCTAGATCATAAATGTTATCTTGAGGTTGCTTTTTCATGATGAATCTGTATAGAACTCAACAGGGACAGCTCATCCTTGTTCTGTTGGGGTGGCTCAAAAGCTGGGTGCTGGACCTGTTTGAAGGAACATCACTCCCCTGCCGGCAGGTCAGCACGGCTGTCTGCTGGGACCTCAGCTGGCGCTATCAGATGGAACGCACACATGTGGCCTCTCCATAGAGCCTGGGCTTCCCTCCGCGGTGGCTGGGCTCCCAGGGCGTGCACCCTGAGAGAGAGCACAGTTGAACCATATCATCAGAGTCTGAGTCCTGCACAGTTTCAAAGGGAGGGGAAGTAGACTGCACCTCTTGATAGGGAAAGACAAGGTTTTAAAACAGGATGTAGGATCAGAAATGAGGCTGTGGTGATTTTTGGAAAATGCAATCTCTCACAAGTGGCTATGAGAGCTAAGACCTTATCAGGAGGGATTTTTAAGCTGGGACCTGGAAGATGTGGGGAGAGAACATTCGAGACAGCGGGCCCTGGCTCCCAGGGAGCCCGGCTCTGGGGCAGCTGGTGGGAGCCAGTGCCCATGCAGCACAGTGAACGCTGGCAGCAATGGACGCGCCCTTGGCAGGGCCTTCGGGGGGCTTGGCCAGCCCACACTCAGCACCTGAGTTATCAACTGCTGCATAACAAACCGTCTCAAGCATACTGACAGAAAAGAACAGTATCGCTGATGATTTTCTCTCAGCTCCTGAGGGTTGCCTGGGCTTAGCAGAGCAGCCCCTCCTCGGCATCTCTCACGCAGCTGTGGTCAGATGAGGGCCGGAGCTGGAGTCACCCTGAAGCCTCGCTCACTCATGCACTGGATGCCTGGACTGGGAAGATGCGAATGGCTGGGGCTGGCACAACTGGCCTCGTGGGCGTCTTCTGCTTTCATTCCCTGCTCTCTCCATGTGTCCCTCCAGGGTAGTGGCTCCTGGGAGGCTAGGCTTCTTACAGGGTGGCTGATGGCTCCCAGAGCAAATTCCCCAAGACAAACCAGAAGTTGCTTGGTCTTTTCTCACCTGGGCTTGGAAGTCAGGTCATGCCTCTGCAGTCACACACAGCTCACCCTGGTGGTCACAAAAGCCCACCCACTTTCAAGGGGAAGGGACATAGACTTCTTGATGGTAAGAGCATTGAAGCATCTGCAGACATATTTTAAAACTACATCTAAGGTGACCATAAATCACTGTCAAAAGCAAGACATTTTTGAGAGTGAAAGAGGATGCTTTCTATGCATAAACTAGGACTGTTGTCCACACTAACCCAAGATATATGGTGGCCTCCACTACAGTGTTCACCAAGCTGTCTTAAATTCCTTTGCCTTTCTGACATCCACTGTGTCGTTTTCAAACATAATCTTCATGCATTGAAATTTGTTTAGAATTAATTTTCTTGTTAACTTCTTGCTTCTAGATCATAAATGTTATCTTGAGGTTGCTTTTTCATGATGAATCTGGAACTTGGTAGCTAGGAATCTTGTCCCACAGTATCTCCATGCAAACTGGGAAGCTTCTGGATATAAGTGCTTAGGACACCTTCTCTCTTAGATGAGAGAAACCTAAGCAATGGAAGAATTTGCTTCAAGAAATGCTTCTTAAAAAACATCATTTTTTTGGCTTAGTGGTAAAAAACACAGTAATGACTCATCAGTTGAAATCAAATCCTTCATCCCCAAAAAGTGTTTTTATAAGTGGGTGTTATTTTTTTTCTTTCCCCAAAGGCAAACTGCATAATATTTGGTGCATCTCTTCTCTGAGCAATATATTCCATTTCAGTGGAAAGTGACAGCTTCAGACTTGAGCCAATAACATTTTATTTTCAGAGTTGTGTGTGATACTTTCAGCCAGGGGTCTGTGTTTGCCTTCACCACTACGTGGAGTTCAGCCACGAACTCCAGCCCTTTTCCTTCTTTCCCTTTGGTCAGTCACTAACCTGTTTTTCCGAAGACCCCGGAGCAGAATGAACACCTAGAGGGAGGATTTGGAAACAGCATCTGGGTGTGAATAAAATGGCAAGTTTATTGTCCTTTAGAGTCCACCACAGTCGATCTCTCTACTCATCCCCACTCACCTTTCAAAAATTCCAACAGAAAACATTTCCTGTCTGTTGTTTCTTTCCTGCAGCTACAAACTCTGCATCATCACTGAAAGAAAGCACTATGATTTATCTCCCATCCATGAGAGAAAACATCTCATTCCATTCCACTTGTCTTCTTGGAAGTTTCCACAAATATCTCCTTGCTAGAAAACAAAAATGCAAGACTTGTATCCATTTCTGTTACAGACTGAAGTACACAGGAAACTTTTATAAGTCCTAAACTATCCCCTGAGCTTCAGGAATTTAGAGGGAATTTAAGAGAGATACAACAGGGGAGTTAAGACTAGGAAACCCAGAGGTGGGGACACACAGGTAGAGTTCAAAGAACTGCCAGGGGCAGACGGCAGTGTCCAACAGCTGCTCAGAACCACACAGGACCAGCCCTTGGGCGACCAGCTGTCCTAGTTTGCCTGCTGTGGAAGGGATCCCGGGATGTGAGACTTCCCATTGACCAATCTAGAAAGTCCCAGGACTCCCTGGACAAGTCCTTCACCCTAACTGGAGTCCTCTTCCTTAATCAGTACTGCCCCCTGCCCTGCACAAAAACCCAGGTTCTGCTGCACAACAGGAGCTGAGGCCATGATGGCCTGGACGTGAAAGAGCAAAGCCAGAGGGACAACCAGCCACTGGGGCTTCTAGGTTCCAGGGACCAAGGGGTGTCTGGGATAAGAATGGGGCAGTGGTGGAAGTCAGCAAAACTGTTAATGGCTCAAAGGTACACAGGCAGAGCTCTGCTCTGCAAGGAAGGGATTGCTTAAGTTGGTAAAATGAACAGGTTGCCCCTGAGTTTTTAAGGTCCCTTCCAGTCAGCCTTCCAAAGGGTCCTTGGGAGTCAGGGGTGATCTGGGTCTCTGGCTGAGTCCCAGGGCCCCACCTCCGGTCTTCTCCAGGCCAGGCGCCCTCCCTCGCAGTCCATCCCTAGCAGTAGCATGTTAATTATTCAAGCCCCCCTCCATCCTCACTGGCCCTCCTACCCCGTGCTGCTTCAAACTGACAGAAGTCTGGCTGTGCCTCCTGGGCTTGTGTACCCACAGCAGGTTCTCTCCTGGTTGCTTCTCTCTTCAAGGAAAAAAAAGTCCAAAATTTGGAAATAAAGCACAAAAGATGCATGATTTTCATTGTCAAGCCTGCCTCAGAGTCACTTGACTTTCCAGAACAATGTAATTTTGACTATTTACTCTTAATCCATTATTTTACCTCTCTCTAAGATTAGCTGTGAATTTGTTGAAAACTATTAAGATACAACTGGTGTTACCCAATAATGTTACAAATGATTTTTTTCCTGTAGAGATAAAAATGACTTCTCCTTGTTAGAGATCATGACATTGAAGGTTATAGTTTTATTGCCTGGAAGAAAAGTAACCAGTTTTGCATCTCATTTAGTGATCTCATTCCACATTTTTTTTTCATGCTAACCATACATACATCAGTTCCTCTCATACACCTGGTTATCTCACTAATGAATCAAAATAAAATTTTGACATGTACTCATTATGTATGTGTATGAGAATTACGCTGTTTGAGCATTTAAAAAATTTTACTGAGGGTGGAGCCAAGATGGCGGTGTGAGTAGAGCAGCAGAAATCTCCCAAAACCACATATATTTATGAAAATACAACAAAGACAACTCTTCCTAGAATAAACACCAGAGAACATAGGACAACATCCAGACCACATTCACACCTGCGAGAAACCAGTGCTTCGCGAAGGGGGTAAGATAAAAGCCCCAGCCCAGTGGGACCCAGGTGCCCCTCACCCCAGCTCCCAGCGGGAGGAGAGAAATCAGAGTGGAGAGGGAGAGGGAGCCTAGGACTGCTGAACACCCAGACCCAGCCATCTGCACCAGAGCGCAGACACAGTGCATGCATGGGGTCCTGGATACTAGGGAAACAGGACAGCAAGACCTGTGAGTGGGTCTCTGAGGCCAGGGCCCAGGGACAAAGAAAAGTGAGCAGCTTTTTTTTTTAATTATTTATTTACTTTTTTTTTTCTTTGCAAGTGCTTTTTGGAAGTCTTAAAGGGACAGGGACCCCAAAACCGGATGGAAGCATCCCGGGACATTTACATCTGGGGATCTCTGGGCACTCTAACCCCCTGGGCAGCAGGGAGCACGGAGGCCCCTCACGGAGATAAATAGCCTCTCGGCCGCTGCCCCTCCAATGGGGCTCCACCATTTTGGAGCAGCAGCCCAAGCCAGGGCACGCACACAACAACAGCGATGATAAACTCCTTGGCAGCCGGGCAGGAATCAGAAGCCCGGTCTGCATGCAGCTACCCAGCACAAGCCACTAAACGTCACTGTTCTCCCAGGAGAGGAAGGCCACAAACCAACAAGAAGGAAAGTTCTTCCAGCCATCACTCGTGCCAGCTCTGCAAACTATCTCTATCACCATGAAAAGGCAAAATTACAGGTAGACAAAGATCACAGAGTCAACAACTGAGAAGGAGACAGACCTAACCAGTCTTCCTAAATAAGAATTCAAAATAAAAATCATGAACATGCTGACGGAGATGCAGAGAAATATACAAGAGCTAAGGGATGAAGTCTGTAGGGAGATTACAGATGCCCGGAAAGAGATTACAGAAGTGAAACAAACTCCGGAAGGATTTATTAGCAGAATGGATAAGATGATGCAAGAGGCCATTGATGGAATAGAAACCAGAGAACAGGAATGCATAGAAGCTGACATAGAGAGAGATAAAAGGATCTCCAGGAATGAAACAATATTAAGAGAACTGTG